CCTTGTGTTTCTGCCAGTTTGTTCTTCTCCTTGGAGATCTACCTTGAATATTCCTGAGGTGTCCCTCCCTTCCTCTTTCCTTTCCTTCCCCCTCTTCCCTCCTTGGCTTAACTCATTTTTGAAATTTATCTTCTTTGCTTCAGAGCTTGGTAATTGTTTTGAGGGGTTGGTTAGGACAGGCATTGAATGCCATTATTTTTAAAATACATTTCAACCTGTTCATGAAGCCAGATTGGGCCTGGGGGAGGCAGAATTTCTCTGATTGCTGCTTTGAGGCTCTGATGAAAAGGTTGGGGAGGGAACTGGACGTTCTGGGTAAGGCAGACGGTTTGTTCTCTGTATGCATCTCAGCTGTCCAGTTAGACAGATAAGCACGAGTATTCTAGAGTCACTGGCATGATCAGTCAATGTAGTTGATAATGTTCTTAAATTCTGGATGGCTATTGAATTGATATGGGTGTATATTTTAATGGCAGCTCTTCAGGTAGAGGAAGAAAAAAATGCGATACAGGCAGTATTTGCTTCCCACAATTACTTTAAATTGAAAAAGAAGTAAGATGAGAGATTGAAAAGTATTATATTTTTAATGACTTTTCTATCAAGGAGATGAAACTTTTCCCCCTTCAAGTGATATTACATTTATCACAGCGTGCCTTTGAACTGGATAGTCTTCTGCAGTTTTTCAGTGGAACGATGGAGGTCGAGGTCACACAGGTTTTCAGACTTAGGAATAAAACCTCTTGACTCCCTCTCAGGCCCTTTCCGTGAGGCAGGCTACTGGCCTACAACACGTGATTTGTTTTTGGTGCAATGAGAACCAGCCTCTGTTCAGGCAAGACCTGGAGGGTAATGAAATTTTGTCTAAAGTTTTTTAAGACTGTTCCCTCTGTGTTGTAGCATTTCATTTCCTTTTACTCGAAAACGTTGCTTGTGCCTTCTGTGGGGTGGTCACAAGTGTCGTGACTGTGGGTCACATGTCACTCTGAGCCTTCTTGCTGCTGCTTGCTCTGGAGTCAAGTCTTTGAATTGCACAGGCTCCTCACCCTGCAGGAGGGTCTCTCGGTGCGTGCATGTCACAGGGCAGGCCCACCTCACTGGGGACGGGGTGGGGGCTGTAGCCTCTTCTTGTGGTTCTCGGGAGTTCTCCTTTGTTCTGATGCAGGTGAGGGTCACCGTGATGGCTCTCCTGGCACAGTGCCTGTGTTGTGCCTCCAACAGAAGCCAAATCTGCACCTCTGAGCGTGGTCAGAACACTCTATGGTCACGCATCTCACGTCCTTTTAATATCTTCTTGGTGGGAAAGCAGCAGCCAGCCCTCGTGGCCTAGTGGTTAAGACTGGGTGCTCTCACCGCCATAGCCTGGATTCACTTCCCTGTCAGGGAGCCACACGACCCGTCTGTTGTTGTCATACCGTGGTGGCTGCGTGCTGCTGTGATGCTGAAAGCTGTGCCACCGGGATTTCAAATACCAGCAGGGTCACCCGTGGGGACAGGTGTCAGCGGAGCTTCCAGACTAGACAGACCAGGAAGAAGGACCTGGCCATGAAAACTCTATGAACGGCAGCAGAGCCTTGTCTGATAGAACGTCACAAGGTAAGAGGATGGGGCAAAAAGACCTGGCAGGGGTCTGCTCTGCTGGGCACAGGGGCGCCAGGAGTTGGAGTCCACTCCACAGCACTAGCAACAAGAGAAAGCAGCAGAATTTTCTTTCTGGGGTTCCAGACGATTTGGCCAGTGTGGCCCTGTGTAAGGTCTTCGTTGTACCACAGACGAAGGCTTTGGGAGGTGGAAGGCAGTTGGTGCTGTGTGGCCGCGGGCTCCCTCTGCTCTGTGAGCGGCAGCAGCGGACAGTGGAGGCCCAGCTCCTGTTGGTGACGTTCACTCTGCTTTGTGAGCAAGCGAAGGGCTCAGAGTTAAGTGACAAGAAGAGGAGATTGTGTGACAGTGGTGACTTCTCTTGTCTGTGATCCTTTATTTAATTTTTATTTCTGTTATCAGAATCTGCTTTAGCATGGGCCGGCCCCGTGGCTTGGTGGTTAAGTGAGCGCGCTCCACTGCTGGTGACCCGGGTTCGGATCCCGGGCTCGCACCGACGCACCGCTTCTCTGGCCATGCTGAGGCCGCGTCCCACATACAGCAACTAGAAGGATGTGCAGCTATGACACACAACTATCTACTGGGGCTTTGGGGGGGAAAAATAAATAAATAAAATCTTTAAAAAAAAAAAAGAATCTGCTTTAGCAATGTTAAGTTTTGCACCGTTAGATACTTGTGGCTGGACTAGCCTCTCTCTCTCATTGATGAACATTTGGGAATTGTGATTCTCGTGTATGTAGTAACTCTACTCTTGCTTTTTAAAAAAAAATTTATAACAGCTTTATTAAGATATAATTCACATAATATACAATTTACCCATTTAATATGTACAGTTCAATGGTTTTTAGGATATTCACAGTGTTGAATCAATTTTAGAACATTTTCATCACCCCAGAATGAAATGACACTTCCATTAGCAGTCACTTCCCATTTCTGTCCAGTCTCATCGGCCCCTAGCAACCACTCATGTGTTTTCTGTCTCTCTGGATTTTCCTGTTCTGGACGTTTCCTATAAATGGAATCTCTTGTGGCTGGGTCTTTAGTTAGCACCATGGTTTCAAGGTCTGCCTGTGTCTTTCTCTTGGGGGAGCAGCGAGGTGGAAGACAGTCTCTCATCCCCTGACCGTGGTGGGTTGCCGCACTCTCTCTGTGGGAAGCCCGGCGCCAGCTCTGGCACACACGCTCGGGGACGGGATCACACGGGGCGTGAGCCAGCAGTCAGGGTTACTGGGGCCGTTATTTGCTGGTGTCCGACAGGTGGAGTGTCGGTGTCCTTGGGTGGGAAGTACCGTGGAGAAGAGGCATCTGGAGTGCCCTTGGGAATACAGTAAAATGCCCTGACGTAGATATGTCAGCTCCTGCTGAGCCGTTGCTGCTAAACTGGTATCTCCTTTCTCCCCTGAGATGGCATGATGCCGTTCAGTTTCATGTCCCTCATTTTTGTCTTACTGCATCGTGACAAAATAATCCTCTTTCTTTGTCTCCGCCTCCATCGTGGTCTCTGGAACTTGCTGACGGTCCTGTCTTCTCTCCCTTGGTCCCTACTGTTTTCATGGAGCGCTGCTCTGCCCCTTTAGCTCTTTAGGTCTGTCTTTTGAAAATTGTCCCCTTTTAGATTCCTGTGTCATTGTGACTCTTCTCTACTTCTTTGACTTTTTTGGTGCTGAAATCGTTGAAGCTGAATCTGGTGTTCTAGTACAGAGAACAGGCTGATAAGGTGAAACCGTGTCCTTTGCTCTTGACAGAACCTTCAAGAAAAAGCCCATAACATATTTCAAACATGCAGAAAGTACAGAGAATAATAGAATGGAATGCTTGTGTACCCTCCACTCGGGGTTAGGAAGTGTTAACATTTCAATAGTTACTTTTTGCCTCAGGTTTTTTTTGTTTTTTGTTTTTTTTTTTGCTGAGGAAGATCAGCCCTGAGCTAACATCCATGCTAATCCTCCTCTTTTTGCTGAGGAAGATCAGCCCTGAGCTAACATCCATGCTAATCCTCCTCTTTTTGCTGAGGAAGACTGGCTCTGAGCTAACATCTATTGCCAATCCTCCTCCTTTTTTCCCCCAAAGCCCCAGTAGATAGTTGTATGTCATAGTTGCACATCCTTCTAGTTGCTGTATGTGGGACGCGGCCTCAGCATGGCCAGAGAAGCGGTGCGTCGGTGCACGCCCGGGATCTGAACCTGGGCCGCCAGTAGTGGAGCACGCGCACCCAACCGCTAAGCCACGGGGCCGGCCCTGCCTCAAATTTTTAAACATATTTATTTACAGTTTATTTATTCATTCAAAATATTGTATTGATGGACGTGTTGGTTATTTGCACATTTTCATTATGATGAACACTGCTAAGATGATGTTCCCTTGCGCTTCCTTGAGTTTTTCTAGCCATAGATATTTTGAAAACAAACTTCGGGGTGATTGATGAGTAAAAACAGTAAGTGATAAACACTTCTGTGATATGTTGGTAGAGAAATGTTGCAGCCATTTTTAGTAACATATAGGAAATAGGGAAAAATGCTTTTTGTGATAGCCATTTACACGGAAGATGTTAACTCATGCTGCCTTCCATTTTTGGATTAATACTAGTGTGACATTGTTTTTTTCAAAACATGTTTGTATGACTATAAGGAAAACTGATGGAATATTGGAATTAGTGGCAAAAACCACTTTCATATGATAATTTAAGAAAATATCCATTACATACTTCCCTTATTTTTCTTTGTGATATTATTTATTCCTATCTAGGGGTAATCAGCCAAACCCTTATTTATTGTTCCTTATGTCATTCTAATCTCTAAGCAAGGATTTTTTTTGAGCTTTTATTATGGAGAATCTCAAACACACACACAGGCAGAGAAGCAGTTCCGTGAGCCCTCGTGAGTGCGCCCCCAGCTTCAGCCCAGTCAGCTCTCTTCTGAGCAGGATTCTCGACTGCAATGCTGACATTGGTTTTATGTGTAGAACGTATCATATTTGGGTAACATAAAACATTAACGGCACTCATTTGAAGAATTATTTCACTATTCCTGTGAGGTAAGTGGCAGTTATTTAGAGCACTTACTATGATAAGATTTAAAAGTTATCTTTTTAATAGAGTTGTGCTAATTTATGGTGGATTGTGTTAGGTGCTCAGGCTAATGGTCTGTCTGGCCAGTCCTCTCTCTGACAGGGAGATTGTCTATAAACTTTGTAAAAGTGTGGCATAAGCCCTTCAAAACGCTTTGATGCAAGATGTTAGGAAACTGTTCCAGCCATTTAGCGGCCTCCGTTTTTACTCCATCCCTGAAGTACAGGACTAGTTAGTAACGCCTCCCGGCCCTGTGGTGTTTGGGGGACTGTCGACCCCGAGACCGTGTGATCCATGGCTTGCTGTACTCAGGGGTTCTTGTGTGCTTGGCTTCCAGATAGCGGTGGTCATGGGATCCTGTACGGCCGGGGGTGCTTACGTGCCTGCCATGGCTGACGAAAACATCATCGTGCGCAAGCAGGGTACCATTTTCTTGGCAGGACCCCCCTTGGTAAGAACATAGTCGCGATGGATTGATTGATTGAAGTAAAATGTACATAATATAAAATTTGCCATTCTAAGCGTTTTTAAGTGTACAGTTCTGTGGTATTAAGCACATTCACTTTGTTGTGCAACCATCACCACCGCCCAACTCCAGAACTTTCTCATCTTCCCCAACTGAAACTCTGTCCCTGTTAAACACCAACTACCTATGCCCCCTCACCTCCACCACCCTTTGCATCCTTGATTCTACTGTCTCTACGGATTTGACTACTCTAGGTACCTCCTGTAAGAGGAATCATACAGTACTTGTTCTTTTGTGACTGGCATATTTCACTTAGCATAACGTCGTTAAGATTCAGCTGTTTTGTAGCATGTGTCAGAATTTCCTTCCTTTTTAAGGCTGGATAACATTCCGTTGTATGCATATACCACATTTTGTTTATCCATTCATCCAGCAGTGGACTTTTGGATTGCCTCCACTTTTGAGCTATTGTGAAGAATGCTGCTGTGAACATGAGTGTACAAATATCTGAGTCCCTGCTTTCATTTCTTTATACTCAGAAGTGGAGTTGCTGGATCATGTGGTGATTCTGTGTTTAATTTTTTTAAGCAATCACTTCATTCCTTTTATGGCTGAATAATATTCCATTATATGGATAGATTGCATTTTGTTTATCCATTTATCATTGAGAGACATTTGGGCTGTTTCCACTTTTTGGCTATTATGAATAATGCTGCCATGAACATTCATGTACAAGTTTTTGTGTGGACATATATTTTAATTTTTACTGGATATATACCTATGAGTACAATGCTGGGTCATATGGTAACTCTGTGTTTAACATTTTGAGGAGCCGCCAAACTGTCCAGAGCATATTTTCCGTGCCCACCACAAATGTGTTTCTCCATATCCTCGCCAACACTTGTTACTGCGTATCTGTCTTTGACTGTAGCCATCCTAGTGGGTGTGAAGTGGTACCTCATTTTAGTTTTGATTTGCATTTCCCGAATGGCTAACACTGTTGAGCATCTTTTCACGTGCTTGTAGGCCATTGTATATCTTTTTTGGAGAAACATCTATTCAGATCCTTTACCCACTTTTTAATTGGGCTATTTTTTTATTGAGTTGTAAAAATTCTTTGTGTGTGTTAGATACAAGTCTCTTATCAGATACATGATTTGCAGATATTTTCTTTCATTCTATGGGTTATCTTTTCATTTTCTTTATGGTGTCTTCCCTTGAAGCATTAAAGTTTAATTTTGATAAAGTCCAATTTGTGTATTTTTTCTCTTTTTGCTTGTGGTTTTGGTGTCACATCTGTGAAGCCATTTGTCTACGCCTAGGTCACACATATTTAATCCTTGTTTTCTTCCTGGAGTTTTAGAATTTTAGCTCTTCCCCTCAAGTCTGTGATCCACTTTGAATCGAGTTGGAGTGTGGTTTGGGAAGGGGTCCAGCATCCTCCTCAGTGTGCATGTGCTCTTGTCACAGCACTGCTTGCCGAGAGGACTGTCCTTTCCTCATTGAATGGACGTGGCTGAAGAAATAAACTTTTACTTATTTTTTCTTCTACCTCAGCTGTACTCTTGTTGGACTCAAGGTCAATGACAAGTTGATAAATTGTTAAGTGAAAGCAGCAAGTTAAGTGAACACCTGCTTATATACAGGATGTGAACTTTTGTGTAAAATGGGGGAATTACACATTTTTAAGCTTGTATGTACATAAGGAGACTCTGGAAAAGACACAGTAAACATTGTTTAAATGCAGAGGAGAGGGAACAGGGTGGGAGAGAGGCCTCTGACTTCTGAGCCTTGTGAAAGCATTACCTTTTCAAAAAGGTTAAGTTTTTCAAAGATAAAGAAGTAAGAACAGATTAGGTAGAATGACTGTGAGAGGTGCTGTAAATTTCGAATCGCAGCAACCTGTATGAATCCCTGGTAGGGCCAGCTGCATGATTTGCTGATCTCAGTATAAAATGAAAATATGGGACCTCTTGTTCAAAAAGTAGGAGAAAAGTGTTGTTAAAGGTACTAAAATAGAAAACATTTTCCTTTCTTCTGTGGTCCCTTTACTTGTCTTGGTGTTTTTTATTTGCTGTTTAATGACATGTGCCCTCAAGCGTGGAATACTCCCCTTCCCAGACATCTCTGTTTTCATCGGGCCTGCCATCCCAACCCCCAGTGGACACATGACCCCAAGGGTGTGAGCCTCCAGGCCAGGGTGTGCTCCGTACCTGGCTGGGGAGTGGGCGAGAGGCTAGCCCTTAGCTCCCACCCCTACCCCGCACTGAGTCACCTGTTGTCGAACATACCTCAGCACTGCCAGCCCAGGTGAGGGACGCTGCTGCTGTGTTCCCTCTGAGATAGCATGGGGTGCACACCTGACCCCCGTCTTCCCCTTGCCCATGCCAGGCCCCCAGTGGGGGCAGATGTCACAGTTGCTACTCGGGGGCAGGCAAGAGGAGGTAGGGCAGGGCCAGGGCCCAGTTGGCAGGGAACCAGGGAGCCAAGAACCCGTCTCAGGGAGGCGGTGGGAGGTAGACCCAGCAAGGGCTGAGGCTCCAGGCCTGGCGCACATGCTCTGTTGTTCTTCAGACTTCACCTACAGCACACAGATTCAGAGTGTGTCAGTAAGAGTTTCAGGAGGGCGACACCGAGCATTAAGCTCCAAGCACAGGGCCCTTCTGAGGGTGCGACCCTGTGCGACCTCACTGGTCATCTGCCCGTGATGCAGTCACTGGGGACTGGATTATGTCATCCCAGGCTCTGTCTCACCTCCTCTTTGGTCAGCTCCAGTCTAGGGATTTCCAATAATACTGTCATTGCTCTGCCGTGCATATGTCACAACGTGGTCCTGTACTTCAAAGGATGAAGAGAGGTGGGTGAAGACACAGGTAATTACTACACCTTGCAAGAAAATGTCCCATTATTTAAGTAAAATCCAAGAATATGAAATAGGTGAAAAGAAGAACATCAAGGAAATTACAAAACTATAATATCCGTACAATGGAATATGATTCAGCCATAAAAAGGAATGGAATTCTGACACATGCCATAACATGGATGAACCTTGAAAACATTATGCCAGGCACAAGAGGACAGATATTGTATAATTTCATTTGTATGAAATATTTAGAATAGGCAAATTCATAGAAACACAAAGTTGGTTAGTGGTTTCCAGGGACCAGGAGGAGGGTGGACTGGGAGTGACTGCTAATGAATGTGGGGTTTCTTTGTGGAGTGATGAAATGTTCTGGATGTAGGTAGTGGTAATGGTTACACATTCTTGTGAATATACTAAATCACCAAATTGTATGCTTTTAAATGGTGAATTTTATGGTGTGTGAATTTTATCTCAAAAAGTAAGTTTATTACTTCAAAAGTCTGTCAAAGAATGATCTTTGGTTTTGGAATATTAACACAAATTTATTTAAAAGAGTATGTTAAAAAGAGTTTATGCTTTCTCATGAAATAAGTGTGTTTTCCCAATGATTGCATTAATTTTTAATATCTTTTATTGAGGATAGGTAAGCCTGAAGAACTGCCATTTCAAATGTGATAACAGTCTCAAGACGTTATTCAAAAAGCCTGCAGTGTTTATTATTTATTTCTCTAGCTGTATTTGATAACTCTCATTGGTTAATGAGAGGAAAATTCACTCACAATTTACCTTTGTATAGTAAAGGGAACAAACTTTCGTGAGTAGTTCTTGTTCATTTTTCATTAGAGAATGAGTGAAGAGGTGACTAAACTGTGAAACGTCTTTTGGGGAACACAGGCAGCGTCGTGTTGAGGAACACTGCTGGCTGTTCTCGAGAGGAGGTTTTGTGTAAAGCTGGGCAGCCAGGTGTGTGTTCAGTGGGTGCAGACGTAGCTGGCGCCTAGAAAGAAGCAGGGCAGCAGCTGGAGGAGTCTGCCCTGCTGGGGGCACTGCCCCATTCAGGGCTCGGCCGGGGGAGGCCCATGTTCACGGGGGGCAGCAGCAGCAGCGCCTCAGCTGCTTGAGAATGCTAAATTTTGCTGCTTGTTTTACCGAGAATTGAGACAAGGTTTTGTAGGTTCACACACAGGTAGGGTTGAGTTGCTTTAGCTTTCAGTGGCTTAGACTAGTGCAGAAAAATGCATAGTAATAAGACAAGTTTTTGAAGGAGGTGTTTGTTCTCCTGTCTTTTGTTTATCTTCTGAACTTATTACTTAGGAGAATGAGCTGTTTTAATTTTCTCTGGGACTTTTGTCGTCTTTGCGCCTGTCACAGTATCAAACACGTTGTGTATGTTCAATGAATATTAACCAATGACAAATCCTTGTATTTTCAGTTGATATCATCAGTTCCCTGAAAATGAGTATAGTATATCGGTTGTTTATTCCTTTTTACAACTTAAATTTCCAGACACTGCTTATATTTAGTTATTGTCTGGGCTGAATGCTATTTTACACTGAATTTTTTGGGAAGAAGGGAACCCAGAATTTAGTTCTAGGGGTGGAATAATTGGAGGTGAAAATTTTAATTACCTTTCCCTGTGGAATAATATTTTATTTAAGACAGAGCTTTTGATGTAGTGAATAAGTAACTTCTATGCTGTATTTTAATGTTTATTATTCTAATAAAAGCTTTTCCTATTTGAAGAAAAAGAAACAAATCAATCAACCCAAAGCAGTAGGAATCAATAAGCAATTCCTAAGACATCAGTTTGGCATTTAGAACTAAATGATTTTTTTTTTCTTTTTCCTGTTAGAATTTCTCTGGCTATAATTAAGTCCTTCTTAATTTATTACTTGAGGTTTCTTTCTTTTTGGTCACATTCTGCTAAATCTTAGATGTAGGTAATCTTGGAGATTTCTTTCCCATCTTAAAGGTATTCTACCTTTAAGAGTTTGTTTGTGATCAGTAACGGGCATTGTTCAGTAAAGACGAAAAAAAGGCATTCCTTCAGTACATTTACTGAGTGTTCAGATAGGAACAAATCACAGTTCCTGCCATCAGGGAGCTCACAGCGCAGAGGGGACCACAGAGACACGTGCAGGTTACCGAGATGCAGTCTGCACAGGCCTTGTTGGAGGTGCCCGGGGGGACCCCTGGACCGGAGATGAGCAGGCATCGCTCTGTCAGTAGCGATGAGGCCGGGGGTCAGGGAAAGCTGGGCAGAGAGAGTGACTTGAGGTGGAGCTTGAAGGATAGTAGGGATTCACCGGGTGGGTGAGAGGAGGGCGCCAGGCAGTGGGAGCAGCGTGTGCACAGACACGAAGCCGTCAGCGCGCGTGTAGAGGCAGCGTGACGCGGGGAGGCGCTTGGGTGTCCAGGTCGGAAGCACCTGGGCTCCCTTCAGGGCTGGGCAGCTTCCTCAGTGCCTCTGGTTCAGATGTTCCTCTGTAGGCTGGAGACAGAGTGTTTTCTTGGTTTACTCGGAGGGTGGGATGAGCAAACACAGCGGTAGGTGCAGGGGGCCGGGGGGTGTGCCTGTTGGGGCTGTGTTCGGGATCTCACCACTGAGTTTTGTCCTCCTGTCGCAGGTTAAAGCCGCCACCGGAGAAGAGGTGTCAGCCGAGGATCTCGGGGGCGCCGACCTCCACTGCAGGTGCCGCAGAGGCCGTGGTCCTTTCCAGGATTGATGGTCCTTGTTGGTTTAAAAGAAGTTTTAAATTATTTTTTCCAAATGTTAAACTGGCCAGATCAAACCACGGTTTATTTGTTCTCGATCTGTTGTTTTAAGGTTCACTTTTGAACTGTAGAGTTGCCTTTCCCAGCTAGAGCATCAGCTTTTTCCAGAAGGACTGGAGAGAGAGTTTGTTTTTCTAACAAACATCTGTCGAGCACCAGTTATGTGCCAGGCACCATTCTAGGTACTCGGGATAATTAGATAGATGTTGTCTTGGGCGTTGTCCTCGAGGACCTTACATTCTAGTCAGGGAGGCGGGCAATAAACAGACAGTTACCAAAACCTTGTGTAAATGTGTGCGCACAACAAGGCCTGCGGAGAAGAAGTCAGGGAGAGCACAGAAGGGGGCGTCAAACCCAGTGTGTGCAGGTGTCGACTGTTGAATTAACATTTGTTGAGTGGAGCACAGAGTGCTGGGTGGTGAGCTCGCAGAGAGACAAACGGAGAAGGTCGTTACCCACAGGTCCCAGAGGAAGGGCGTGCCTCGAGGGTCACGTGGGGAGGTCAAGCCCGAGTGCAGGCCGAGAAGCAGGTCCTGGGGCACGTGCCTGTGTACGGGCCGTGGGTAGAGCGCTTTGGGGTTCTCGGGCCATGGCCATAGTGGGCAATTCAAACGAAAAGAGCGGGGTTTTGGTAAGTCCCATGGGGGCCTTATCTGAGGGGTGCGTAAGGCATACAGGTGCTGGGAGGCAGGGGAGACTGTGGTCTGTTGAGAAGTCACGTCAGGACTCACTTTTGCTGTGACTCTGCAGCTGCTGTCTAGGGCACACACTTGCACGAGAGGCTGGTGTCAGTTTAAGGTCCCTGCAGGCCACTTGGCCAGACAGAATGGATGCTCAGGTAGCAATACCATGGAGTAGCTAGCTCAACTCTCCGTAGCAGCTAAGTGTTTAACAGCGGGTTCCCTGGGGGGAGGGAAGAGCCCTGCTCCGTGGCATCTGCCACTTTCTGTGTATAAACTGTCTCACTGTGGTTGATTTCAAGCTACCAACACGACGCCACTGAGTGTGGAGTCTGGAAGAGATGCACGGTTGGCTCTTGTGAGTCAGGCGCAAGCTGGCTCCTTCACATCACTGGTCTAGACATTGTAGGTTAGAGTTCAGGGGTAAGAAGACCATCTACCTCCTAGAATTTAATGAGGATTAAATGAGATGATATATGTAAATTGCTTGAAACAATATCTGCTTTAAAAAATACCTATAAATGTTAACTACCATTATTATTGTTGTTTATCATCATAATTGGTGATTAAAGGTTTTAGACTTTTTTTTTTAAGAGCAATTAGGGAACCATGAAGAGCTTTAAGCACAGATGTGCTATTATCAAATATTTCATTTAAAAAAAGCCCTCGGCTGCTAAAGGGAGACTGCTTGGGGTGTTGGCAGGAGTCTGCGTGGGGTAGCTGGGTGGTGTGTCCACAGCACAGGTGAGAGATGCTGCTGTGTGGATGGCTGTGGTGGCTGTGAGGGTCGAGGCGAATGACTGGATGTGAGCTCCAGTTTAGAGGTGGAATTGAGGGACTTGGTGGATGTCTTATATGGGGCACAGGAAGGCGAGGTGACAAAGATGATGACCTGAAATGGTTTCATTTCCTGAGACTGGGAAGGCGGGAGGATGAGTGGATTTGGGGATGGGGCAAGGGCTCAGGTGTTCCTGTTGGGCCTGATGAGTTAGAGATGCTGAGACATCCAGGTAGAGATGCTGAGTAGACAGTTAACACATGAGTCTGGAGCCCAGGTCAGTGCTGAAGATCTGTGTGTGGGGTCCTTGGCACAGAAGTGGGACTAGATGAGCTCACCTGGGTGGATGTAGGTAAGGAAGAGGGCCCAGGACGTGAACGACAGGTAATCATCGAGCCTGTGGCCTGGCAGATGGCCTCCCTCTGCCTGACCGCACACGCAAGGAGGCAGGTGCTGTGAGCAGTGCATGTCCTTCCCGCCTCCCCATCACAGAGCACTGCTCTGCCTTGAAGAGCCAGGTCAGGGTCCTTCCTCTGCTTCAAGTTTTCGTTTGTGCCTTTCTCATCAAGCACTTACTGTGGAGAGATTGAGTGCACTGTGTATGGGTAATGCAGAAGAATTTCAGGCCTAGCCTCTGCCCCCAAGGATTTGTGATTTAATTAGTCAGATAAGAGAAATAAATGAGTGAACTCAAAAACAATTCCAAAATAACTACAGTAGCATCTTCCAGTGTTACAGCCAGAGGCGAGAGGAGGAATGGTTCGGGGACTGGGTGGAGGAGCTGCGGCGGGCAGAGTGGAGCGCAGAGGGAGAGCGTGGGTTTCTGCCCAAGCGTGCACAGCACAGCCGTGTGAGCGGAGAGGCGCGCTCCGGTCTTACCTGGTGTCCACTGACCGTTCCGGCATTGTAGAGTGGAGCTTTCAACCTGGAGACGGAGGACGCAGGCAGACGGGTGGCCTCAGGACAGAGTGGGCCGCCACCCTCTGTAGGTTCCTGAACAGGGAAGGACATAGTGTTTGAGGAGCATTAATTTAAAAAAAATTTTGACTGTTTAAAAAAGTTATCTGGTGCAAAGCTGTAGGCAATGTGTCAAGTTAGGGGTGTAGGTTCTGGAATTTGTCTTCCAGTTGCCTCACTTTTAATACCCCTGTGACTAGACAAACCACTTAACTTCCTTGAGCCTCATTTCCTCGTGTGTAAAATGAAGATGAGAATAGTTCCTGCCTCATAGCGAGTGTCTGGTGCATACTAGCACTCTATTACTAGCTGTTATTATTAATAATAGCCTGTTTAGAATCATAGGAAAATGATTAGGTGGTGATGGCCTTTTTTTGAACAGTGTCATAAAATTTACTGGACACAAATTGCTTTGGTTTCTCTCTGTCTTTAAATACGTCTTTCTGTCTCTCTGATTAGTCGTTCTTAGTAGTTAATTTGGTACAAAGACTTGTGTAAGATAGTCTCATCAGATGTTTCCCTTTCCTGTGTTTTGGTAAATACTAGGCAGTTTTTAAAAGAAAGCACTTTAAATATTTACTGATTTGGAAGCAGTTCCTCTGCTTCTCTTTGCTTACGAATTTCTACAGTGTGGCTATCAGTCAGCACTTGTAGCTGGTGTTACCTGTGAAGCGTGTAAAAGGTGTGATCAGTTGTAAATGTTGTACTAAATTAAAGAGACTGAAGGGACCACCATTTGCAGAGGCGTCGGAGGGCTGCACAGGGGGTGAGCCTGGTCTCAGCTCCTACTTAGGAACTTCGGTCCTGGCGGGGAGGGTGACAGAACCACTGAGAGCCCAGGTGTTGGAGGAGAGACAGTATCGGGGGCTAGGATGGTTCATGATCTTCCCTTTCCTGCTCTGATTGTTTCAATGCGCTTTACTCTGCAGAAAGTCTGGAGTCACAGATTACTATGCTCTGGATGATAACCATGCCCTTCACTTAACCAGGAAGATTGTGAGAAATCTAAATCATCAGAAGAAATTGGATGTGAGTGGGATATGTTCTTTTAGCTTTTATGTTTCTGAGAAGCATTTTGGCTTGTGTCACCTTGAAATAGTGTCTTTAAACTGATTAATATGATTTTTTATGTTTCTGCAGGTTACCATTGAACCTTCTGAAGACCCCTTGTTTCCTGCTGATGAATTGTACGGCATAGTGGGTGCTAACCTGAAGAGGAACTTTGATGTCCGAGAGGTACGTACAGTGGGGCCGCTAGCTATGAACTTGCCGAGGTCTCTTCATATGTGTTTTCATGTTCAAAGCAGAAGTCTGTGTGGGTGTGTTTGTGCCTGGGGCCCTCGTGGACCTCGGTCAGGAGTGATACCCCGGAGAGAGCCTCTCCATAGTGCAGGCGTCGTGGGTGCGCAGTAAATACTGAAGTGGGGACCTCTTGTGGTTGGAAGGTTCTCATTGCACTGTGACAGAGCTCGGTGTGTTCAGAAATAGGACTCCGTGTCCCTGTGGGCGTTGGGAGTCATGGGGGCGACTTCATAGTTGCAGCTGCTTCTTCCCAGTGTTCTTATCTCAGGCAGTGGATGAAATGTCAGTAAGTCGTGGGAAGAAAAAACAGACCCTTTTAGATCAATATGACATTAGCAAAGATGAGACCTGATTACAGTAGAGGATGTTGCTATGGTTACAGGTTGTCGACTAGTCTCCTGAGGTCTGGAGTGACGGTTTTTAGTGTTTGCGTAGAGCACGTGGTCTTTTATTTTGTTCAGTGCCCATATCTGGCAGAATAATTTTTAAATTAGGAAATAATCTTAATACCAGATTCTGTGCCTTAATATTTTAAGTTACTTTTCCCCTTGACTGTAAAAGTTTTAGGTACAAATTGTGAAAAATGTAGAAAATACAGAAAAACATAAAATTGCTTGTAATTCCATCATCCAGAGAAAGCAGCTAGTGTTTTGGCTTAATGTGTATTTTTATCTAGTTGAGCTGGTACATACATACATATATATACATATATATTTTTAAATTTCTACTTTTTCCAGTTTAAATTATAACATTTCCCCAATATTTAAAAGTTCTTCATGGAACATTTTCCATGGCTGGGGCTTAATTCCTATAATAGTACCTGGCAACATGGTAGGCACTCAGTAAATATTTTTTTGAATGAATTAATGAATGTAATATTCTGCTTATGCATGTGTACAGTTATTTATTTAGGCAATAGCCTACTATTGTTAGAGGATCTTAAATCCTGGATTTTTGTGATGACTTAGTCAACTCTGTGTTTTAGAATTAGATTTTTAGTTTGACTTTTCAGTTAGTTATAAGCACAGGGAAGAATGGTACTTACAATTTGATGTGATTGAAAAACGAGTTGCTCCCAATAGCCAAGTTTTCTAGAGGCTAAGAATTCATCCTTTTAAGCATCACCACTTTTTTCATTTATTCAACAGTATTTATTGAGTACTTGTTCTATGAAAGTGTTGTTTCAGGCACCAGGGGTGCAGAAATGAGCAAAACAGATACAAATCCAGGCCTTCACGGTAGTTCCATTTCATTTTAGGGGAGGTCTTTTTATAAAGATAGACCCTTGCCTTCTTAAATAATATCCTGGGCTTCTGCCTTCTGCTGATTCATGTTCCTCATTGTGATGATAATGTGTTAATTTTTCTGTAATAGCAGATAAGCCTTGTCTGGAGGTCTTACTGGTATGTGGAGCTATGGCATAGCCCTGGAATAGAATCGGAAAACCCAGGTTCTAGTCCTTGTTTCCCTAGTCAGCGGTATTGGCATTGAACCTCTCTGAACATCGAGTTCCCCTTCTAGAAATAGGAGTAATACCGTATGATCTGTCTGCTTCCTAAAGTCTGAGTCTTTGTGAGGATGAGTTAACATATTTTACGTGGCTAGGTGGTGTCATCGTGAACAAATAGAAGTAGTTTCACACTGAGTGGCCCTGAGTCGTGTGCCCTGTGAGTAGCTTTATGTTTGTGTGGAAGGATGGTAGTTGTTATGTGCCTACTATTTTTTTAAAGGTATGATTTTGGAGGTACGTAGCACTTAGAACAGATAACTAGTATATTCCCATTCCCCTTTTAGGAAAATAACTAAAAAGTAATTCAAAGTAAGCTTTTACTTTTTGGAAAGAAAGATACTGGGAAGCACTCACTCATTTTTCAGCCTTTGCATCTTACAAAAGAAGGCTGTGATTGATGTGGTGAACAGGAAAAGGAAGTTCGAGCTAGATAGAAAAATGATGTGTATCATCTAGAATAGTTTCTGAAGAAATTTGGAGTATGCTTCATGTTTGGAACTCTTTGAAATAGTCCTAAGTAATGATGAGCCCCAAGGAGAAACTATTCAGTAATTTCTGCTCCTTTTAGATGAATTACGTCTATGTGGGATGATCCCGCAAGTCTGTCAGATTCAGAGTCAATGAGCCTTGATTGAAGGCTTCATAATAATAGCTACCTTTTACTATTAGAGCCAGGCAATCTGCTTTAGTTAGCACTTTCTAGGTATTATCTTTTTTTATATATATATATATATATATATTTTTTTTTTTTCCCCTTTTTTCCCCAAAGCCCCAGTAGATAGTTGTATGTCATAGTGGCACATCCTTCTAGTTGCTATATGTGGGACGCGGCCTCAGCATGGCCGGACAAGCGGTGCGTCGGTGTGCGCCCGGGATCTGAACCCAGGCCACCAGTAGCAGAGCACGCACACCTAACCACTAAGCCACGGGGCTGGCCCCATCTTTTTTTTTTTTTTTTTAAACAGATGAGGAAACAGGCTCGGAGGGTTTTAGGTAACCAGCCTATGACTCTGGTTTCTCAGTGGTAGAGCTGAGAGCTGGTTCTTCATCTCAGAATTATTTTCTTAGATTCCTTCACTGCTAGTTCGTCTCATCTTCACGGCTTTGTCCCGTCTTAGTAGGAGTGAGACCCGAGACTCCGAGGGGTTAAATATCGTACTCCAGGACACACGAATCCCATGTGATACCTTAGGTCAGAGCCTAAGTCTTCTGACTCTAAGTTCTATGCCTTCTAGATCTTTCTGAGCGAATCCCTGCCAATACATTTAGTACATGAGAACAGCCCCTGAAACTCTGAATCTGGCAGCCGGCCCACGGAGTCTTGGCCTCTCTGGTCTGCAGCAAGTGCTCTTGCTGCATAGTCAGGTGTAAGATGGAGCCCAGAAGGACTTCAGGGCATGATCCACAAATGCAAAGTGAGATTATAGTGAGGAGATTTTTTGTGTAGGGTGAAATTTTGTGAAAGTGACAACTTCACTATGAATTTGTTTTCCTTATAAATAACTTTAATGCAAAAGTTCTTTGGTAATATAATTTCTCAGGAACATTGTTATTTTTCCTCTTAGGTCATTGCTAGACTCGTGGATGGAAGCAGATTCAGTGAGTTCAAAGCCTTGTATGGAGACACGTTAGTCACAGGTATCAAGATGAAGAATTGAAAATGCGAACCTTTGCTGATGCTTTGAAAATAAGTGATTTCTTGTCACAAGGCCTTGATGCACTTGGCAGGAGCTTTGTTGTTTAGAACAGTACAAATGTATGAGTCATTATCCAAAAGGATCTGTTTTGTAAAGCTCATTTGTAGCCGAATGGCTTCATGGATCCAGAGAGTTTAAAAGGAAGCTGCCAGATGCTGTGGTGTAGGCCCTTATCTGTGACTTGGAGGCGTTAGCTGTATAAACAGGTTCTTAAATTTCAGCACTATCTCCTTTGTTCTTTAGTCTCCAATTCAACTAGGAAGTTTTATGATATGGAGCTTCTCATAAGGATGTAGACTGAGTTAAAGCTTCTCACAGCCTCTGTGTGGGTCTTACATTGACTCATGCAATACTAGATTGAGAATACAGCAGTCCCCTCGTTGCCCGAGGTTTTGCTTTCTGTGGTTTCAGATCCCGCAGTCAGCCATGATCTGAAAATATTAAATGGAAAACTTCAGAAATAAATAATTCTGAAGTTTTAAGTTGTGCACCAGTCTGAGTAGTGTGATGCAGTCTCTCGAAGTCCCACTCTGTCCTGCCTGGCTGACTCATCCCTTTGTCCAGCGGATCCACACTGTCGCTCCCCACTCGTTAGTCACACTGGGTCATCAGGTCGACCGTCGTGGTATCAGTGCTTGAGTTCAGGTCACCCTCATTTTACTTACTAACGGCTCCAAAGCGCAAGAGCAGTGATGCTGACAATTCGGGTGCGCCACAGAGAAGTTGTAAAGTGCTTCCTCTAAGTGAAAAGGTGCAAGTTCTCGACTTAATAAGGGAAAGAAAAAAAATCGTATGCTGAGGTTGCTAAAATCTGTGGTAGGAACGAATCTTCAACCCGTGAAATTGTGAAGAAGGGAAAAGAAATTTGTGCTAGTTTTGCTGTCACGCCTCAACTATGTATGCATAGGAAAAAACATAGTACAGTTGTGTGCCACATAACGTTTCAGTCAAGGACGGACCGCATCTACAACAGTGGTCCTGTAAGATTAGTCCCATCTATCCTAGGTGTGTAGAGGCTGTACCATCTAGGTCTGTGTAAGTACACTCTGTGAGGTTCGCACAATGATGAAATTGCCTAACGACGTATTTCTCAGTACGAGTCCCTGTCATTAAGTGAGGCATGACTGTACATATAGGGTTTGGTACTATCCACGGTTTCAGGCATCCACTGGGATCTTGGAACGTATTCCTATGGGTAAGGGGGGACCATGGTACAGGACAGAATACCAAGTCTGAAAAAACAAAATAAGAGTGTTTATAAAGTTAATTCATTCATCTGAAGTGTTAAATTTGTAGGTCTTTGAAGAAAAGTATTTGAAACGTAGTTGCTAGAGCCATGTTAATCTATCTTGGACAAATGGCAAAACAAATTTGGGCATTTTATTTGGCCTTATAAAAGCTCAAAAATGTAGCAGTTAATCTGAAGACAACATATCAGAGTAGAAGAAACAACTGGCTGCAAAAATCCAAATTGCGGGTGTACGTTGAGGCTTAAGGGTAAGTCATAGCAGGTCTCCTGGTCTGATTCATGAGCAAGAGGAGGCTTCACACAGGGAGTGGAATTTATGTTTTTGTATTCAGGTGTTTAAGTGATTAAGAGCTTTTTGTTTGATATATAGACAGGATTTGTCACCAAATAGTTTAGGATGTAACCCTCATTGTGCAGCAGTTGAGAACAAATTAAAGCTGTTTCTGCTTCTTTCTCAAAGATGGCTGGGCTGTCATTGTCATCTGTTTTTATGTATTTGCCCTGTACTTGCCAAAAGACCTTTGCTCTCTAGAATACCAGGGATATATCCAGTTTCCTCCATCTCTTCTGGACTGTGTTGGGACTCAAATAAGGTTAGGGAGTGAGGGGAGGGAAGTGAGGAAGAGAAGAGGAGCATGAGAGGGTGAGGGGGGGACATGAGAGGGTCAGAGGAGGCATGAGAGAGTCAGAGGGGGCATGAGAGGGTCAGAGGGGGCATGAGAGGGTCAGAGGGGACGTGAGAGGGTCAGAGGGGCGTGAGAGGGTCAGAGGGGGCGTGAGAGGGTCAGAGGGGCGTGAGAGGGGCGTGAGAGGGTCAGAGGGGG